ACAGGCTCGATATCCTTGGAGCAGAAGTTAATAGTATGGGTTTTGACAGACGCTCGAGGAGTTCAACGCAGTGATGAAGGGCTACAACGGGGCGCAAAAGCGTTCCTCCGTGGCGCAACACGTCTCTCGAGACGAGGGTGTTCCTCAGGCGACCGACGTGGACTGGCGACAGAAAGGCGCCGTCACCCAAGTCAAGAACCAGGAACAATGCGGCTCCTGCTGGGCATTTTCTGCGGTAAGTGGTTAAGCCTGGTAGTGTTGTGGCCTGTTCTTGCTGCAGGGAGAGTCTGGCTGCTTCAGGGAGGCGTGTTCCTGATGCAAGGGGCGTGTCTCTGATGCAAGGGGCGTGTTCCTGATGCAAGAGGCGTGTCTCTGATGCAAGAGGCGTGTCTCTGATGCAAGAGGCGTGTTTCTGATGCAAGAGGCGTGTCTCTGATGCAAGAGGCGTGTTCCTGATGCAAGAGGCGTGTTCCTGATGCAAGGGGCGTGTTCCTGATGCAAGGAGCGTGTCTCTGATGCAAGAGGCGTGTCTCTGATGCAAGAGGCGTGTTCCTGATGCAAGAGGCGTGTTCCTGATGCAAGGGGCGTGTTCCTGATGCAAGGGGCGTGTCTCTGATGCAAGAGGCGTGTTCCTGATGCAAGGGGCGTGTCTCTGATGCAAGAGGCGTGTTCCTGATGCAAGGGGCGTGTTCCTGATGCAAGAGGCGTGTTCCTGATGCAAGGGGCGTGTTCCCGATGCAAGGGGCGTGTCTCTGATGCAAGGGGCGTGTTCCTGATGCAAGGGGCGTGTCTCTGATGCAAGGGGCGTGTTCCTGATGCAAGAGGCGTGTTCCTGATGCAAGGGGCGTGTTCCTGATGCAAGGGGCGTGTTCCTGATGCAAGAGGCGTGTTCCTGATGCAAGGGGCGTGTTCCTGATGCAAGGGGCGTGTCTCTGATGCAAGGGGCGTGTCTCTGATGCAAGGGGCGTGTCTCTGATGCAAGGGGCGTGTTCCTGATGCAAGAGGCGTGTTCCTGATGCAAGGGGCGTGTCTCTGATGCAAGGGGCGTGTTCCTGATGCAAGGGGCGTGTCTCTGATGCAAGGGGCGTGTCTCTGATGCAAGAGGCGTGTCTCTGATGCAAGAGGCGTGTTCCTGATGCAAGAGGCGTGTTCCTGATGCAAGGGGCGTGTTCCTGATGCAAGGGGCGTGTTCCTGATGCAAGGGGCGTGTCTCTGATGCAAGGGGCGTGTCTCTGATGCAAGGGGCGTGTCTCTGATGCAAGGGGCGTGTTCCTGATGCAAGGGGCGTGTTCCTGATGCAAGAGGCGTGTTCTTGATGCAAGGGGCGTGTTCCTGATGCAAGAGGCGTGTTCTTGATGCAAGGGGCGTGTTCCTGATGCAAGAGGCGTGTTCTTGATGCAAGGGACTTGAGTGTCTCTGATGCAAAGGGCTTGAATGTCCCTGTTGCAGGAGGAGCATTCCTTTTATCTCTAGTATACAATATTGACCTTTATTTGTATAAAATTGTAAAATCAAAGGCCTTTTTCAGTTATGTACCGTAGTTCAGTAAAGTACCGCAATCCCATGTCGTCTGGTAAAGTACCAGACGACATGGTACTCTGGTAAAGTACCACTACCACTCAATTCCTCCTCTTAAACGAGGTACATGTATATGTACTATCTCCACACATGCAGCTTACTCGCAATCCAACTTCCTCATGTATCTAATCACCTGTTCCGTAAACATGTCAAATAACATATGGTTCTTCACTGTTCTCACGCTATGCCATTCAACCATGTTCACAATAGCGGCTATTTAATCACATTCAGCCTTTTGATCTTCTAAGCATTCTCTTTTACCTACTTCTGACTTGATCTTTACCATTTAATACTCTTCCATTCTTAACTGTAATATTCCTCTGTTACGCTTCATTTATGAAAAAAGTCTCTTTTAATATTTCTTTTATTATTTAATTCCAGTTTTTTTGTAATTTTTCTTTCTCCTATTAGCTAAAAGAAACTTCCCCTTCTTATCAACATCTTTTCTCATCACCTCATTCAACTACGTCGTTCATTTCATTCTGTTACCATTTTGTACAGCTCACAATTGGAATAATATAAACACTCTCAATAGGTATTATAATTTACTATAATAATAATGAGATTATTAACTCGGCACATGAGTTCAAACCCTCATCAAGGCTCCTGTGGATTTGTTCTTTGATATCACGTTAATGAAATTGTTGTTGTCGATGCCATAGACTGGTGTACGATCCCCGATAATTTAATTAAGTGGCTATGAGCACCGGTCCTCTCACCGTCCACATATCCCAGCTCCTTGTGTTTATATCCTAGCTCCTTGTCCTCATATCCCAGTTCCTTGTCTTCATATCCAAGCTCCTTGTCTTCATATCCCAGCTCCTTGTCCTCATATCCCAGCTCCTTGTCCGCATATCCCAGCTGCTTGTCCTCATATCCCAGCTCCTTGTCCGAATATCCCAGCTCCTTGTCCTCATATCCCAGCTCCTTGTCCTCATATCCTAGCTCCTTGTCCTCATATCCCAGCTCCTTGTCCGCATATCCCAGCTCCTTGTCCTCATATCCCAGCTCCTTGTCCGCATATCCCAGCTCCTTGTCCTCATATCCCAGCTCCTTGTCCTCATATCCCAGCTCCTTGTCCTCATATCCCAGCTCCTTGTCCTCATATCCCAGCTCCTTGTCCTCATATCCCAGCTCCTTGTCCTCATATCCCAGCTCCTTGTCCTCATATCCCAGCTGCTTGTCCTCATATCCCAGCTCCTTGTCCGCATATCCCAGCTCCTTGTCCTCATATCCCAGCTCCTTGTCCGCATATCCCAGCTGCTTGTCCTCATATCCCAGCTCCTTGTCCGCATATCCCAGCTCCTTGTCCTCATATCCCAGCTCCTTGTCCTCATATCCTAGCTCCTTGTCCTCATATCCCAGCTCCTTGTCCGCATATCCCAGCTCCTTGTCCGCATATCCCAGCTGATTGTCCTCATATCCCAGCTCCTTGTCCGCATATCCCAGCTCCTTGTCCTCATATCCCAGCTCCTTGTCCGCATATCCCAGCTCCTTGTCCTCATATCCCAGCTCCTTGTCCTCATATCCCAGCTCCTTGTCCTCATATCCCAGCTCCTTGTCCTCATATCCCAGCTCCTTGTCCTCATATCCCAGCTCCTTGTCCTCATATCCCAGCTCCTTGTCCTCATATCCCAGCTCCTTGTCCTCATATCCCAGCTCCTTGTCCTCATATCCCTTCAAAGTGCTAATTTGTCATACTGGCGTACTGAGCCCCTAAACCTGATATATAACTTACAGACTGGTTCCCTGGAGGGCCAACACTTCCTGAAGACCGGAACGCTGGTCAGTCTCTCGGAACAGAACCTTGTCGATTGCTCGGGTGACTTTGGCAACTTCGGATGCGGAGGTGGTCTAATGGATAACGCTTTCGACTACATCAAGAAGAACGAGGGCGTCGACACCGAGGCGTCGTACCCATACGAAGCTAAGGTAAGTCTCCCAGAATCTCACTGAACTGACCTGCTGTTATTTGGGGGGGAAGGGGGAGGGGCTGGCTGTGTTTAGTGGTTAACGAGACTGTGTCTACTTGAAAGTATTCGTTACTTGCAGGACGGAGTTTGCCGCTTCAGCAAGGACAACATCGGGGCCACATGCACTGGGTATGTGGACATCCAGGAGGGCAACGAGACCAATCTCATGACAGCAGTGAGAGACGTAGGTCCCGTCTCCGTGGGTATTGATGCCTCACATCAAACCTTCCAGTTCTACGACAAAGGTCAGTGAATTACCCTGTCACAGACAGTTACATTTATACATACAGTCACAACCAATTTCCTCAACAATATATCACGGTATCGCTTTATAATTGGACACTATTTGTATTTTGCCTTTGACTACTTGACTCTTAATAAAAAAAATTAATTAAAAGAATTTTGAAGCGAAATTTTATACCCCCCCTAACAATCATGCATGGATATTACGTGACGTCTAATTTTCAAGAGTGTTTCACATTTATTTTACAACACTTATGCTAAGGTAACATTTGATATTTACAAGCTCGTATCATGACAGATATTAACAGGTTTGTTTGTATGCCGCAGCTGTCAACACTTTGTTTTTCCAAACATATTTACGGTGCTTGCATCAGCACAATAGCCAATTGATCTGTTTGTGGCATTAATATATTACTTAATATATTTGCAACAAAGTACAATGAGTTAATTGTTACAATTACTGCTTAAAAAAGCACAATCTCGAAAAGACATACGAATTAGTTTGTATCAGCTCAAATTCAAAACCTCCCTTCATTAATGGTTGGACATTTATAATTTAATTATTTTGCCCCCCAAAAAATCAGCATCTTAGTTACGTAAGAAAAGTCATAATAATATAATAACACGCAGTCAGTATAATTATATATTGTTTAATATATATTTTGAAGCTTTATTTGTCTGTGGTTTATAACAAGCATTATAGCTGTGGCTGCAGTGAACATATAAACACTGTATAACTTGCAGTTCGAGCTGCGAGACTTATACTGGCGAAACATATGAATAAATTAACATGAAATCTGCATTCCACAGGCGTATACTTCGAGCCTGACTGCTCAGAAAGAGTGTTGGACCACGGGGTGCTGGCCGTGGGCTACGGCTCTCAGGACTCCTTGGACTTCTGGCTGGTCAAGAACTCGTGGGGCACTGACTGGGGCACGGCTGGCTACATCAACATGGCCCGCAACAAGGACAATAACTGTGGCATTGCCACTGCCGCCTCCTACCCACTGGTCTAGACCCGACGCCTCCTACCCGCTGGTCTAGACCCGACGCCTCCTACCTGCTGGTCTAGACCCGACGCCTTCTACCCACTGGTGTAGACCCGACGCCTCCTATCCGATGGTCTAGGCCCGACGCCTTCTACCCGCTGGTCTAGACCCGACGCCTCCTACCCGCTGGACGCCTCCTACCCGCTGGTCTAGACCCGACGTCTTGTAGAGCACCGAGATGACTGGTAGGTGGGGGAACTCGCCTATCAAGACCGCTGTGCTGGGTAACTCTTGCATGTTTGTCTTTCAATGTATCACATATATCTTTCTGTTTCTTTTTACGAGTAATAAAGAGTGTTTCTTATTTTCTTTTGGGTCTTCATATAATCCTGAAGCTTATTTATAAATGTGTTAAGAAGTGCACGGGTGAAACCTATGAGTTGACCTCCGGTGAAAAAGGTGGCGTTTGAGAGGCAACCGACTCAAGGTAGAATCTCTGGCAAGGCTGAGATACGCCAGCTGCCTCGGGAAGCTGCCTCTTCCAGAGGGATTTCGGAGTAGAATGTCGCTCAGGAAACAAGATGTTCGCCGAGTTGGCGACGATGGTCAACGTATTATTCGAGTAGGACCATTTCTTCCCTCTAATGGTCCGGCTTTTGAAGGACCATCATTACGTCCACTAGTGATTCTACCTCTCAGGGACCATAATTACACTCCACCACCATTACTTATTAATATGAAAATAACATTATTATTTATAAGAATAACAAAGTTAATTGAAGCTTTACGGAGGTAACCTAAATTCCTTAATTGCGGAAGATGTTCTCAAGTGGTTGCGGTCATAAGTAGCCTTCAAGTGACACCTGTCAGAAACTGCCTTCATGTATTCGTACATGTAGTATTAACAATTGTGTAACTAGCTTCACAAGAGTGTCATTTGCTTAGCTAAACGAACTATAAGGCTTCAGTTCTTCATTATGTTCTTCTATAACCCTTTCCACCACCGCCCACAGGATGGGTATGGGGAGCATAATAAATAAATGAGTAATGACTGAATTGATGGAGAGACACTCCTCATAAAACTGGGTGTTGAAGTGTCAGGAAGTTGTGTTCTGTCGGTGTGACTCTGGCTTAGGTCATTACACCCCCCTGGCCCACCTCCCCCCAAAGCCCTCCCACCATACACGGTAGCGAGTGTATGGTAAAATCTTGTGGTTCGTTGGATAACTCCACACGTGAGATTTCTTCCATTTTGTGGTGTATGTCTCCCATTTTGTGGTGTATGTTTCCCATTTTGTGGTGTATTTTTCCCATTTTGTGGTGTATTTCTCCCATTTTGTGGTGTATTTCTCCCATTTTGTGGTGTATTTCTCCCATTTTGTGGTGTATTTCTCCCATTTTGTGGTCCATTTCTCCCATTTTGTGGTGTATTTTCCCATTTTGTGGTGTATTTTTCCCATTTTGTGGTGTATTTCTCCCATTTTGTGGTGTATTTCTCCCATTTTGTGGTGTATTTCTCCCATTTTGTGGTGTATTTCTCCCATTTTGTGGTCCATTTCTCCCATTTTGTGGTGTATTTCTCCCATTTTATGGTGTATTTCTCCCATTTTGTGGTGTATTTCTCCCATTTTGGGTGTATTTCTCCCATTTTGTGGTGTATTTCTCCCATTTTGTGGTGTATTTCTCCCATTTTGTGGTGTATTTCTCCCATTTTGTGGTGTATTTCTCCCATTTTGTGGTCCATTTCTCCCATTTTGTGGTGTATTTCTCCCATTTTATGGTGTATTTCTCCCATTTTGTGGTGTATTTCTCCCATTTTGTGGTGTATTTCTCCCATTTTGTGGTGTATTTCTCCCATTTTGTGGTGTATTTCTTCCATTTTGTGGTGTATTTCTCCAATTTTGTGATGGATTTCTCTAATTTTGTGATGCGATATTGCCCCCGCAAGCATCACCTTCACAGTCACCACTATTATCATTACCTAAGCCATTACATTATCACAATCATCACCGCTGTCATCGCCATAACCACCACCACCATCAAAATCGTCCTCACCATCACTCCATCACCCCCAACACCATCATCCCGCGCATCTCCATCACTCTCATTAGTCATCACTAGTGATAACTAATATCTATAACATCACCATCAATTCCATGATTAATATCACTCAACAAATTCTCCCTGGAACATTTTAAACCCGTCCTGAATGTACCGGCAACATTGCAACCAGCAACACTAATGACCGGTTTGATATCTGAACAACCAATTAAGCAAGAAAGCACCGAAAAATTTCACACAGTAAAGCTTTGATTTAAAACGTTAAAAAGAAAAATAACATACACATAAAAGATATATTTTTTTTGCATACTTACATCACTGATTCTCTCGATTCCATTTGCAATTTACATAAAACTTCTTTATAGCGTTTTAAAGATGTCATTTAAACGATCTGGCATTTTTACAGATGCAGAGTGAATATGAATAATAAAAATATACATACAAAAAGACCGTATTTCGCCGGGGAATCTGATCACTGAACAATATTGAGGAGAGCTCGTGGAAGCATGAGGATCCCGGGGTAGAGAGGCGTGTTCATGGACAAGTGAGGACTGTCCAAGGGGAAATTCGAAATGCTTAAGGAGAGCTGGCAGCCGGCTTCTCCTCAGAGATAGTAAGTATGGAAGCTTTACGCCCTTTAATAACACTAGGAAACCCGAAAATATATGAAAATTTCCTCTAAATAAAGTGCTGCATTATATATATATATATATATATATATATATATATATATATATATATATATATATATATATATATATATATATATATATATATATATATATATATATATATATATATATATATAGGGGGGAAGAAGGGGGACCCATAGCCTCGGAGGAAACCACACATAACGCATTGGAGGGAATGTAGGTCCCCTCCAATACAGTTTCTGTGTGCTTTTCTCCTACCACCCCCTTCCCTTTTCTTTTTTTTTTTTCCTTTATTGTGTATTTAAAGGTTACAAAACATACAAAACAAATGCCTAAGGTTATGGATCTCTTGCTTGAAGCATATATATATATATATATATATATATATATATATATATATATATATATATATATATATATATATATATATATATATATATATATATATATATATATATATATATCCATCATACCCTCATGCCAACCCGTGAAACGTATCGTGCTGGCTGCATCACCTCCACACAACCACCTTTAGAACTTAGACTGAAGCATAAATGAAGCCGCATGACTCCCTCACCACTCATGCTTACAGAGCCCTGAACCTTTGAATGCTCTACCCTTGTGCCGAGGGAGGAAGCAATACGGCGATGTCTTCGTCTTTCGACTCAGGAGCGCCGAGGTTATCCCACAAGCCCATCAAAGGGAACCAACAAATATGGCGGGAATCCTCTTGACTTGCTAGCGTTCAGATCTTGCGGGAAAACTTGTAAGAGATCTTGAGTTGATAAGGAGGTCGCCTACCTCTTCTCCCTTTTTCCCTTGCTACCAATCCTTCCGTCTCGTAATTCCCCTTTCCAGCTCCACTGTTCTAAATTGACCCACTAAACCTCTGTCGACAGTCACTCGTGCTCACTAAGCAATTAGGCTCGAAGTATAAGATTTCCTGGAAAATCTGCTCCATTGCGCAAGTGCTCGGCTGAATTGGGTTACAATTGCGTACAAATTGCGTAATGAAGCTCGGGCAGGTTTCCTTGCCACGGTAGCATTCTTGGTGGGTTCTACCTGTTTTCAAGTCAACATAATGAGCAAACGCCGTGAAGCTGCTTCTTCTTATGTTACACAACGTAACCGGGATTCTTTGATGATGTGGATTATAAGGCTTACACTTGGTATCTGGCTCGCAGCACTTCTCACCCGCCTCCCTTCTCTCCTTCCCTGTCTGTCTGTCTCTCTGTCTGTCTGTCTGTCTGTCTGTCTGTCTGTCTGTCTGTCTGTCTGTCTGTCTGTCTGTCTCTCTCTCTGTCTCTCTCTCTCTCTCTCTCTCTCTCTCTCTCTCTCTCTCTCTCTCTCTCTCTCTCTCTCTCTCTCTCTCTCTCTCTCTCTCTCTCTCTCTCTCTTTCTTTGTATTAACTGTAAGACCAGATCATATTTATGTTGGAAATAAAGAGCTCGAGTACAAACTATTTGCTTTCAACACGAAGACACAGAACAAAATATCGAGACGTTGATCACCTTGGCTGTATAGCACATGAAGTGAAGGAGATAGTGGGTGTTGACAAGACTAGTTGATGACACAAAGATGGGGGCTTAGGCTGTGGAGAACCACCCCCCCCCCCCCCTTCCTTGTGTCCCACCAGGGAGACTCACCCCCCTACGTGCCTGGTTCACACAGGGGGAGATCAACCCATGCCCGGGGTCACACTGGGGGGAGACCCACACCCTGCCCCTGGTCATAATGGGGTGACCCACCATGCTTGGGGTCCAACTGGGTATACCCACCCTCTGGCCTGATTCACGTGTGGCTGCCTCACTGCATAAACCTGACATTTACCCTTGACTTTCAGTGCGGCCAACGTCCCTGCTCGTCACCCTCCTCGAGCGCTCGGTATAATTAAGTTTTCTTTACATCTCTCCCATTTCTTCGTTACTTCCCTCCTATTCGAAGGCGCTCTTTTTCTTCCCTGGAGAAAGTGACACTGCCTGCGTGGTGACTGAAGGGCTTAATTCATGACTGGGAAGTAACTGGGAATCTTGTCACTGCCGGAAAGTGACTGGGGCGCCTACCGCTGCCTGGAAGTGGCTCTTAGAGCACTTGACACTCACTGCTCAGCTCAGCAAATGGAAAATACTTGCAATTTCTTTGGATTTCCGAAGTGGATCATATTACTGGTGAGGAGACCACGAGTCGACTACCGGTGCATATAATCCTGGTGAATATATTTTCAGTATCGAATAATATCAGCTCAATATTTTCTTCCCAAGCGCCCTTGAGTGAAGTGTTCGGGTCATGTATATTCACGTGAGTGAAATATATACCTGCGTGAGGTCCAGGATAAAAAATTCTGCATATATTGTGCAGTTTATTTATTGTTTGAGATCTAAATTCAAACGTAGAAAAATTAATATGTTTTTCTTACGGAAAGAATTATCAAGATTCCAGCGTGTGCGCGCATGTGTGTACTCACCTATCTTTACTCAACTATTTGGGCTTGCAGGATCGAGCATTGACTCTTGGATGGTCGTTGGTTGTGTGTGTGTGTATTCACCTAGTTGTTTTCACCTAGTTGTGTTTGCAGGGGGTTGAGCTTTGCTCTTTCGGCCCGCCTCTCAACTGTCAATCAACTGTTTACTAACTACTTTTTTTTCTCCACACC